CAGCAACAAATGTTAATGAAATTATTTCAAGTCTATCTACTTTTTCTATTCAAGAAATTTGGGAGATTACTCATTACCGGGCATCTCATAAAAATTATGTTATTATACTTAACAATGGCAACCATATTTGTACATGCCTGAGACTTATTAATCAGGGTCTTTTTTGTCATCATTTTGCAAAAGTTATGATAGTTTTACAAATTGCAGCATTTCATATTCTTATGATTTCATGACGTTGGTATTCAGATGAACATTATTTAAAATCAGACAAGTCATTAATATCTCAACTATTAATTACTTATCAAAATAGAAGTGCTACTTCAACTTTAAACTTTATATTTGATTTTACTCTTATATACCCGGGTTCTGATTTTTCTTTTAATATATTAAAAACACTTAACAATCATCATGTATATGGAGTTATGAATAGTCTCTGTAAAAAAGCTATGGCTGTTGAATTGGATGCTGGCTCTGTAGCAATGGAATCACTTAATAAGTTCTAGAGAATTTTATTCAACAATATTCTGTGAATTCTAATCAACACTTGGTTACTAATACTGCTTTAAGTAAAATTCAAGATAATGAATTAAGTAATTTAGATGATCAAGAAAATGTCTCACAATTTGATGTATCTACTATACAAGATCCGGTGATTAGAAAAAGAAAAGGAGCACCAAGAGTTAGGCATATTAAAAGTTCTCTTGAAACAAAAAATATTCAATCAAATACCAAGAAAGAGAAAGCCACATGTTTTTGTTCTTGCTATAAGCAGCCTAATCATTATGCTAAAACTTGCACTGTAGATCTTTAGCATATATATAAGGTTAGTAAATATATATCGATATAGAGTTAGAATAGCTAATTGATAGTTAATTGCATTAATAATTCAAGTGTTATTTTACTAACTAATCAGTACTTAGCTTTAAAGTTCTTAGTTTTTGTATTGTGTACTATCGCTATATATTAACCAAATTTAGTTTCTTGCAACCAGGTTGAATTATCTATCATGGTATCCATTTA